GCTTCTCGGCCTGGCCTGCTTCATCAGCAGGGGGCTCCTACTGCCTGCCGTAGAATGGGCTGTTTCTGGGGCGAGGGAGGTCTAAAAGGGCAGTGAGCACGGTGGGGTTATGGGGCGCAGGATGGGTTTTCTGTCGTACCTAGGTCAGTTCGGTAACGGCAGTGAAGAAAAGCCTATATGTGCTTTTAATCGTTTGGAATTGGGCGAAGCTTACTTTGGTTTTCTTCAGTTTATGTATATTTGCTCTAACCAAAGGACTTTGGGGTATCTGCAAGGTGGAAAATGGTGTAGTAGTTCTTAAGCACTGATGATCATTAATAGAAGCCAAAACAATTCTCTAATGCCAGATTGGATTTTGTGAAGCTCTCATGGTCAGGTTTGGCTGGCAGGACTTTTCAGTGTTCTTTTTAATGCCTATAAGAGTAATTCAGAGAAATTGAGAATTGATGTTTTGTTTTCCTGCCCTTTGCTCAGTATCCCGGTACAAGCTGATAGCTTCTTACCACTATTTCTTAGTGCTGCATTAAAGTAACCTTTCACAAGTCCTCTAGAGCAGGGATTCAGAGCTGTGGGCACAGCCCTGATTAAACCCATCAACACTGAGATCAGCCCCAGCTGTGTTTTAGTGCCCTGAAGTCGTTTCTCTTACAGCACCAGCAGAAGTGTGAGCAGTGAATAAATAATGGTAATTCTTCTCCACCAGGAAGAAGGGGAAAGCGTCGGAACATAAAGACCAGCTCTCCCGGCTGAAGGACAAAGATCCTGAATTCTATAAGTTCTTGGAGGAAAATGATCACACACTGCTGGATTTTGATGCCTCAGACAGCTCTGATGAGGAGGAGGAGAGGGTGCATGTACCACCTGATAAACTGGAGGTATTAGGCCCTATTTTGGAGGGCTGAAATCAATCATTTCAATTACTTGTGAAGTATTTGAGGTTCAGTGCAAGGCCAGAGTATATTTAGGGTCATAGAGGCACAAAGGGCTGGGGTGGAGCTTCCCCATTGATGATCTGCAGGTGTGCAGGTTTGTAATCAGAAGTCAACTGTGGATTTGAGCTGAGTGGGAGGAGTTTGTTAATGATTGTCAAAGCAGAGTCTTAGAGTGTGTTATCTCTATGGCTTTGGTTTTGTCACCTTTCTAATGAGAGTTTTGCCTCAAGTGATCTCTCTCTTCTGTGTTTTATGTTATTGCAAGTTGTATTTATGTAGCAAAGCTGCAGGCTCTAATTTCATTATTGCCTTACAGAAGGAGCTGGTAACAGCATCAATAAACCCCACTGCTGCCTGCCTCTTGCAGTAGCTACTCAGTAAAAGAGGTGCTGCTAGAAAAGTGTGAAAGCCTTTTTTCAGTCTTACTATTAACTTCTCTAGGAAGCAAGTGATGAAGATGAGGATGATGATGAACAACAGGCAAAAGTCAAATGGAATAGAGCTTTTATCCCTGTGAGCTTGAAAATGGTTGAAGAATGGAAAAGAGCTGCAGAGGTGAGCAGGGACTTCTCCTTTAAACACTGTTCCGCATGTCTAAAAGACCAAACTCTCCATTTGTTCATCTTTCATAAAAATCTAGAGAGAAAGTGTATGTCCTTATGTAGGTCTTATTCCTAGAGCTCTTGTTACCTTGGCATCACTTGCCTTTGCAGTGTTTCTTGGGCTGCAAGATTAGGGTACATGCACTCCATCTGAGGGAGAAGGTAGGGAAGCTTTTGTGGCTCAGAAGAGGTGAGAATGGTTAACTTTGGGTTTTATATCCTCTTAGAAGCATTGTGCCTTTGGCAGCTCTAGGAACTCTTTTTAGGCACACTTTTAGTGATTAAATGGTTTGCTGCTTCTAAGAGGGGGAGGCAAAGGTCAGTTGCTTGCAGCTGATTAATTGCTTCTCAACCCCCAACCAGTTAGAACCCCTAAAGCCCATTTGAGCACAGGTGGAGGCCACTAGCACTCATTAACACTGCCTTTACACCCCATTGGGTGGAGCTATTTTTGCAGTCAAGTTTACAGGGAGTTGCAGTGCTCCATCCCCGTGAAGTGCTTTGGAGTTCCAGAACATTGCTTTTTCTCCTCAGCAATCCTTTCTTTCTTTCCCCAGAGAAACCTAACACCAAAACTATTCCATGCAATCACTCAAGCCTTTAAAGCAGCTGTAGCAACCACCAAAGGAGATGATGGTGGGGCTGATCCCAGCAAGTTTCAAGTCACTGATGCTTCAGGTGAGTTGGTCACCATACTACTACTGTGAGAGGGAGAAGTCATTTGATAGGGAAGGTTTAGCTGTTGGAAGAGAGTGGAGATAAATACTGGCAGGAGTTAACTTACCCTTTCTAGGCTTCATTTCACATAAGTAGCTTATCTTCCTGGTGTGAGTCTGTGCAGTGGTATCTCCTCTGGTGTCACAGAGTGTAAGTGTACCTCTTGGTGTGCATGTCTGGAGCAGCTGGGCTTGCAAGCTGCTGAGGAAAGTCCCACCCTTGATTCACCAGGCTGCTTGGAGTGAAGGTGAATCTAGGTACTATTTATATGCTTGTAGTACATGGGGGTGGGTTTTGGCCAACTTTTACTGCAGCTTCTTGCTGTTCCCTCTAGAACTAATCCAAGACTATTTTGAGTCTTCTCACCAAATAGTGTTCTGTAACCACACAACAGTCCAGACTTCAGTTGCACTATTAGGTTTACATTCCCCTAGCTGGGACTTCTCCAAGTACTGCATGTCTAGATCTACTTCTCTTCAGGATTCTCATGCCTATAGAACAAAGGAGATGCAAACTTTCTCTCCAGCTTAGCCCCCTTTTGCATAAGCTCCAGGTTTTGCAGACAGTCTTGTTTTAGACTCACAACAGCATGGCTGAGAGGGAAACATCTTAGTGTCTTGGAGGATGTGAGCTGCAGTTCTGCCTCCTTTTACCACTGAATTAGTAGGTACTTTCTCACTGTGTTTATCAGCTTGTTACTCTGTGCCATCTGGAACTGGCACTCTGGGGTGGGACTACTTATATCCACCTGCTCTCCTTTATTTCTTGCCCAGCATAGGGCTTTTTATATCTCTTCCATTGCTTTTGGTAAAATCTCATTCTTTAATACAAGATACCACATAGAAGTCACATATTGTCTATTACTGTGACTATTAAGAAATGCCTTTAACTTCATTATGTTTTGGGGGAGATTGACGTTACAGACTCCTAGTGATGGGTCAAGCTGCTTTTGTGCTTGGTGCTGTTTAATCAGAGGGCAAAGAGGTGACCCCTGTGCCAGAAAGCTGTCCAGTTGTAATACTGCTGTATAGATAAAGTCTAGGGTAAGACAAACTGCTCTTCTGTGGAAGCTTGAGGAAATGGAATAGTTCTGCTATGGGAATTGGGGGCTTCAATTCCTTCAGGAGCTCTTTTCAGATTGGGAATATGTGGAAAAATCATTTACAAATGCTTTACTGTCTTCTTTTAACCAGTGTTCAATGCCCTTGTGTCCTTCTGTATCCGGGACCTCTTCCACTACCTGCAGAAGCTGCTTCTTCCAAAACCCCCAAAGAATAAGCACAAGTAAGTCTGAGATTTGACAACTACAGGTGACACAAACCTAGTTGGGGCTTTTGAGAACTGCAGCCTGGCTGGAAAAGCTGCCTGTATGTAGGCAAAGTATCACAAGTATGGGGCTTTGGTTAATCCAAGGCTTTAGCAGCTGGATTAAGTCCTTCCTCATCCCCTGAAGGGAAGGTTGAGCTAAACTTTAGATTGCTCGTTGACAGTGGTGCCTAGCCTGAGGAGTAAATTCCAGTTCTTTATGTAAATACCAGTCTGGTTTCTTCCCCAGGCCTGACTAGTACAGACTGTCTGAATTTTGGGATGGCTTTGGGAGCACTACTTCATGAGTTACAGCAAATGTTTTGCAACTAGTTTGATCCCAAAGTAGGCTTTCTTGCTACAAGCCGGCTTGCTCTGTTCTCAGGCAGTAGCTGCAGAATGCCTGACTAGAAGATAGCATCAGTGTGATTCAGGTCTCCAGCAGGCTTTCTGGTGTCACAGCTCCCTGTATCACACTTCCAGAGATGCTGGAAGCTCTGAAATGAATTTTCTCCTGCTTCAGGCAGTTCGTACAGGTTAGAAGTACTTCTGCTCATCCATAACAGTTGTTACTCCTCTGACTTCTTGCTTTGCAAGAAGTTGTTTTTATTCACTGGCAATATAGAGAATTGAACTCGCTTTCTGTTGCTGACATCTAATTTATTCGGTGGGGTTCTTCTAAACTTAAACCCAACTCTTACTCCTTTCCAGACTGATCCTCCCTTCCACCAGCCCACTTTGGAGCAAGCTGCGACTGGATGTAAAAGTGTACCTTGGCTGTAGCATACAAGTAAGAAAGTTCAGCATGTTTGTGTGGCTGGGGTCAGTCTGTGCACCACTGGGCTTCTGTTCAGGATAGTTTGGAATGAGGCAGATGGGGCTTTTAGCAGTAAACAACACTGCTAGAAGGAATTGCTTTCCTTAAAGACAGTTACTCCAGTTTGAGGGTGGCTTTCTCGTCATCACGATACTGGGAACCTTGGGTATTAGTTTCTATACCTTTTTGGGTAGTGGAGAATAAATAAGACTGGCTGAGACTGCTGTGAGCAGAAGCAATCTCAGTGAGTCTCAAAGCCTTTGGCGCCTGAGATTTGGGTGGCTGTCCAGTTCCCTGTCTTGTTTTGGAAGTATTTGGTCTAACTAACAATGTCGAGGTCCATAGGGTGGTTAGGTCCAAATAGGCAACTTGTAAAGAAGGGCTGGATTAGTATTCTGGCACTTTTCTATCTCGATTTGTCTGAAAAATTAATGTTTAGTGGGGTTTAAAGTAGTTTGCAGTGTTGTGCTCCTGTATTGTGCATCTTTAGTTCAATTTTTGGCATTATGATCTTGCCATTTCTTGTAATAAATGCAAAGAATGTAATAACCTCACATATGACATTTCCAAGTATGATTATGCTCCGTCCCACGAGGATACTCATCCATCTAAAGTTGCTCATGTGGTTCAGAGACAATGAATGGATTAGTTCTGAAGGAAACTTCCACCCCCAGTTAATTTTTTTGATTGCTGCTTCATACATCCTCAAATTGGGAATATCTAATCCACAATAACATTTGAAGTACTCATTCTTCAGAAGCTGAAGGAAGGGCATATAAGAAAAAGAACATGCTGATGTCTCTTAGCTGTAAGCTGGCAGGATGACTTAGCAGAAAAGAGCATTTTGTGGTGCCTCTTGCCAGCAGCAGGAGATTGCAGTAGAAAAAGAAAAGCTGGCAATGCAGTCCTGGTGAAGTGTCCCTAGTCCTGTGCTTGCTTCTGAACCCCTGTGTCCCAGGCTTCACTACAGTGTTCTCCCAGCACAGTATCTTCCTTCCTTTTGGTGTGTGAGGGACTTCGCAAAGGAGACCTGCTCAGTCCGTAACCTTTGCAGTGCAAGGAGGAGAATGAGGAGGAAAGTTTAAAGTAGAAGAAATGCCTCTGCTTCCAGCAACTGGGATTGGAGGCAGGAGGGGGCACTGCGTCAGGCATAATCTCTCTGAAACTGAAGTGACTTAGAGTCACTCCATCTTCAGATTAAAACTGCAAACGTTTCTGGGTTTAGCTCCAGGTCAACTGAGCTGGAAATACAAAGATGCTGTTTCTTAATAGCTTGTCTAACCTTTTCCTTGAGCTTTTCCTTGAGCTAACCTCTCGATACCCAAAAGTATTCCCGCTTCCCATGAAAGAAATCCTGGTGAAATACAGTAAGTTCTCAAGTTCAGATGACCTGTTTCCAAGTCTCGTGTAGACTGAAGGTGTCTTCATTGTGCTTTGATTGTAGTGAGGCAGCATTGGTGTCCTGCCATCTGTAAGATATCTTAAACTGCTTTTGCAGTGTACCTAAGTGAGGTTTTATGTGAAGAGCTCAGGTGCCGTTCACCATCCAAGTCCAGTAGCCTAAGCTCACATTTGCCAGGATGATGTACTTTCAGGGGAGTTATTTAACCCACTACATGTCTGCTCCTTTCTTGATAAAGCTTTTGTGGGTTTTGTTTGAGCTTCTTCCTATGGAAGGCTGCTATTCCAGTCCTTTAGTAACACAGAAATACTTGGAAACAGCAAAATACAGATGCCTAATGGTAAAAGAAGAGGTGATGGGGACTACACACTAAATGGGGTCATGTTTTCTTTTACCTCCATAGCTCCTGTCTTGCTTAACAGAAGCCTCAGTTGGTGCAGCAGTCCTTCAGCATGTCAATTCCATAGTGCCTTACTTTTTGTCCTTCCCAAAGCAGTGCCGTGCACTCCTCAAGGTAAGGTGATGTCTTCTGTGTCATTTGCGTCTAAGTTACTTTCTTAACCCCTTCAGGTGAGCCTCTCATGGGATTTGGGCTGTATCCCATGACAGCTTAGTTGCTTGTACTCCTCTTCCCTTTCCTTTTGGTTCTGGAAAGGATTCCTAAAAAAGTCATGAAGTGCTGTCACGCTGAGGTGAGTGGGCATGTAGCTCTGCGTGTAGCTACTACTAATCCCTGTGCCAAGTGACACGGAGGTGTTCAGGGGAAGCTGTCTGCTTCCTCAGTGCAGATGGAGTAATTGCTGCCTGTGTGCTGAGTGTGTGTGTATGTCTGTGATACTGTTTCCCTCTCAAGAGCTGGGGGTGGAATATTTTTGCAGCAACTTAGTCACAACTGCTGAGCACTTAAGAAAAACAAAGGGGGTGTGGAAGAGGGCAGCAGGGTGGCATTTAAATGAAAAGCTTCAACACAGCATTTAAATGAGGCTGGGAACCCTTTGATGATAAAGATGAGTGCTGTACAGTGATGGGAGGCTGGTACACCTCATATCTGGAGGTGTAGCAGTCTGCTCGTTGCTACAACAGGGAGTTTTGAGCAGGCTTTTCCAGCCCTGTGGTTGGAATCTTTCTGGTTTCCTGTAGAGTTCATTACTACAGATAAGGTAACTAGTTTTTGAGACATCAACCGTCATTGTGGTCCTGCTGTAGCAGATACTTCCTGACAGGGCCAGGCACATCCAAGTGAATCTATGCTCTGAACAGGTAAATGTAGGCAGGCCTGGGAAGAACAAAATCTATTCACTTGCTTCTCCAGAAGTTGAGGCCAACATAAAATTGTTTATGCAATGCAGAGATGTGTAAAACTCACGTTAATGATTGTACATGTTGGTGGTGGGCTGGCTGTTGGCCCAGACCTTTACATAGACTAACCTCCCCCTCTGCAGCTGGTGTGGGTGTTTTTCTGATGCACTGGGTGCTCAGCATCATGCTTGTACTGGTGACTAAGGATATGGCTCATCAGCAGTGCTGCCTTACACAGGTCCTGTCCCTGGCTCCCAACTGCTGCTGTTCTGTTGCTTCAATTAGTACAGTGAATGCCTAAGGATCTGGAATTAAGTCAGAACTATCACAGGATGTATCTTGGGAATTGCAACCTATTTGCCTAGAGGGGAAAAGCATTGATAAACTCAGAAATCAAACCCTGGTGTCCCCTCTCCAGAGACAAATACATTTTTAATAGCATTCTTTGAGGAACTAGAATTTGGTGTTTGTGGTAACTGGAGCACAGTTGTTTTCTGTAGAATGCAATGTAAGACATCAAAGTAACTCTTTTAGTTGGGCTGGAAGATGTATTGGCCAAATGTGTGATGCAGTGTGGTGCTGCTGTCTTGGGGATGGTGAGGAAGCTTTGCAAAGCCCACGAGGTTCACATCCACGGGCTGATGGTGCTTCTGCTCAGCAGCTCAAATGTGTATTTAGACCCATGAAGAGAAGTCCATTTACTTTTCAGAGATGCCAGTTCTGAACAGTTCCCTTTATTGTTTATGGAAACATCAACCTTGCCTTTTGTGTGGTCTCACAGCTGGAGTGTGAGGACAGACTGGCTGCCAGGGCTGTGATTGATGCTTTGACAATACATCTGCCATCTTTGTGTCATCTTCCTCCTCACTTGCTTTTATGGTGTGAAGGAGGGAAGCTCAGGCCTGTCTGTAACCAGGAAGGGGCTCTTTGTCCCTTCTCTTACCTGTGTTTTTTTTGTGTTGTGTTCCAGCAAGCAATTAATTTGTGGAGCACAGGGGAAGAAACAGTGAGAGTACTGGCCTTCCTTGTGCTGAACAAGATCTGCCGCTACAAGAAAGAGCTGTACCTGAGTCCCTTGCTCAAGGTAAGGCTGGTACTTGCTGTACTCTGCAGCTTTTCTTTCTCATATTACATGCAAAGGCCTTAGAGCAGCCTATTGGTTAGGGCAGGTGCTGGGGATGATGCTGGCTGCCTCCAGAAAATGAAACAGGAGTGATATCCTGTTTCCTACTTCTGCCTTCTGTGCTGGAGGCATTCAGGGTCATAGCAGGGAAGGCCTCTGATACTCCTCTATCTACTGGATGAATACTCATCTTCCAAACTCCTGAGGGCTTTCTTCAAGTGCTCACACACTACTCAGTGCTACTGAGGTGCTCTGATCTTGCAGCTAATAGCTGAGATTCCCAAGTGTAGTTTGCTTAGGTACCACTGTTACAGAAAGAGAACTGTGACCAACCATACACATGTATGGCTCAAAGCCATTCTAAGATTCTCTCTCCTTGCAGAGAAACAATGGTATGGGCATCTCCAAGCTCTGCTAAACAGGCTCTTTCCAATTTTCCCAGAAGAAGCAGCAGGCTGGATTATTATTTCTCCATATTCCTTTGAAGTGACTTGTAAAAGGAACACTTCACCCCTGATTTGGGCATACCGAGGTGGGGAATGTTAGTGAAAGAATGGTTTTATTCTGTTCCTATATAGTTGTATTTTGTCCTCTTTCCTGCACGGCAAATGTACATTGCATTTGTGAAGAATTCCAGATTCACCTCTCCCAATGTCCTGCCCATGATCAACTTCATGCAGCGCACACTGACAGAGATGTATGCCCTGGACACACACATCTCTTACCAACATGCCTTCATCTACATCCGGCAGCTCGCCATTCACTTGCGCAGTGCAATGACAATAAAGAAGAAGGTGAGTACCCATCAGAGTGTATCCTCCTGTGCTGGGGACTGGGAGCTCCGGAGATCACCTCGTAGTCTGTGTTACTTCAGCAAGGAAGGAGAGAAAAGGTACCTGCTGTTTGGGAGTCACTTTTCCCTCCACTGCTTGTAGGAGTTTGTGGTGCACTTCCCATCTTCTGCCTTAGACACCCTTTTCCACTCTATGAAGCTGCTGTTTACAGCCTGTGTCACAAAACCTCAAGGTAAAGAAGATTAGGAACCACCCTGATGTGTGCATCTCTGCAGTGAAGTCCATACTATTTAAAGGACTTAATTGAACAAAGCAGCTCAGACCTTTTGGGAGCAGCCCTGATTTCAGCCACCTCCAGTCTGACCTTGCAGATCTGAGTGGGATTGTTAATCCTGGCTTTAGTCATGTTTAGCAAAACAGACCCCTATGGATTAATTGTTCAGCTGCTCCCAAACCTGGCAGGATTGGTGACCAGTTAAATCTCCTGGCTATTCAGACATGGGGATGAGCAGAGATAAATGGAGTCTGGGCTGCATATGCCCTAATTGGATTGCATTGGCTTCTTACACCCTCTATTCTGGCCCAGACAAGAACTAAATCCAGTGGATTTCACAGCTGGGGTGGGTTGTAGGAACTTTAAATGACAACTGCACAAATCCAAGCAATAAGCTAATTTAAACTGAGCAGTAGGTAGTTGTGGGGAGTGATTACAAGAGCAGATTGTACCTTTGTTCTATGCAGGAGAAGCTGAGAAGAGAGCTTCTTAGTACATCTCAGTAAGCTGGGAGAGCTCTACATTTCCAGCTGCAGCTTAAGTCTCTACTGCAAGGTTTGGTTGCAATTGAGGGCTTCTGTCCTTGTTCCAGGGCTCTTGCATGGATGAAGCAAGATGCCTAAGAGGAGGTGACCTGGGCCTTGAAAGCCTTTCTGAAACACATACAAGTTGGAACTGAGGCACCGTGTTAAATGTGATCTTCTGAGTTCTTGGTGCAGTTCTGGGGTCTACATGGGCCTGCAAAACACTTAAGGAAAGGGTGTCCTTAAGGGACTCCTGCACTGTTCTGGGCTTTTATTTAACTTAGCACTAAGAGCTGCTTAAGCACATGGCAGAGGGTAAGGGCTTGCCCTAATATTCTTGGGAACGTGTATCTTGGGTTGGTGCAAGGCATGACCCATCTCTACCCATACTACTGAGCCAGCTCCACTTAGTGGTGTGGTGGTTGGGGGGTTTTGATTAATACAGCTGAGGAAATGGAGCCTCCAGTGGGAAGAAGCAGCTGTTACAAAGGAGTTTGAGTGCAGAGAGGGGAAATGCACATGAATTCAGATGAATTCCGTGCTAGCTTGAACCTATACGCTAGCATCACACACGCTTTTTCTCCCCTTTCTGGTCTGCAGAGGCCAGAAGATGATTTACAAGGGTGTTAGAGGTTCCAGCCTTCCTACCTGGGATTGACCAGGGACTGTGGGTAAATGGAACAGTTAAAGTTTTCCTAGTGCTTGGCCACATCCCACCAGCTGCTGTGAGTAAATCGCCCTTGTCAAATGAGCCATACTTGTGAAGAAAAGCAGTGTGTGTGTTGCTCATTACTTCCTTCAAGAAGAACCAAATCATTATGCTGCCAATGCATGTGAGAGCTAGAATGTTAGTTATTCCTCTCTAAACAGTACCCAGTGTCCTCTTGGAGAATGCTGGGTAGAATGAGACTTCAGAGAAACCAGCGAGCTCCTCTCCAATGCCACATCTTCAAGTTTGTGCCTGTGTTTTCTTCCCCTTTCCTGCAGGAGAACTTCCAGTCTGTGTATAACTGGCAGTATATCCACTGTCTGTACTTCTGGTGCCGGGTTCTCAGCACAATCCATCCCAGTGAGGTCATGGAGCCATTGATCTATCCTTTGACACAGGTCATCATTGGCTGCATAAAGTAAGTAGGAGTTTTGTCTTTTGGGTACAGTTCTTTCTCTTGCTTGAGGGGGCAGAGCAGTTACCAAGGGGTGTTACTGTTACATGACTTGGATTTGACCTTGCATTGTAAGGAACTGTGTGAGAGCTGCTTTTGAAGTGTTCCAGCTGGAGATGTGTTGTGAGCACCTCTAGGTTTAGGTGGGGAGAAAGTTGTGGTGTAGATTACTCTTCCCTAGGCTAAATTCTCTGTATAATAGAAGTTGCACAGCCTGGACAGATTATCCTCCCAGTTGTAAAATGACAAAGAGAATGTACTGACTTGCCTCAAGACCCAACAGTGGCAATGAACAGAATCAAGTCCTCATCTCTAACTCTGTAAATACAGTTAGAAGATGCATTTTTGTACCTATTTGTTAGAGTTTGAAGAAGAAGGACAAGTTTATTGTTTTTAATGTCTCTGCTGAGAATTTGTCTTTTTCCTGTCAGTTTATATATAAAATTCATATGCTTTGAAATGGCATTGAGGGAATTTGTGAATCTCTGGTGATCTCTGAAATCCTGTTAGCTCTGTTAACCAGATTCTCAGCTTTAAAACACCACCCCCCGGCCTTAAAAACCTCCCAAGTGGTGATGAAGATAAGCAGATTTAAATGATCTTTAGAATATTCGTATATCCCTCTTCTCATCCTCCATGTGCCCAGGCTGCTTCCCACTGCTCTTGGAGAGCTTTAGTTGTCCTGCAGACAAATCTAGGCAGTTTTCTACCTGGCCAGGCAGATAAATCAGCTATGAGAGGCCAAGGAAAGGTGAGTCTCAGCAAGAGGAGCAAATAGAATTGTTAGCATCTGGGGTGGGCAGGGCTGAAGGACAGTTACTGTCTGACAAGGCTTTAAAGATTTGGGAACCCAACAGATGGGTTCTTGGGTTGAGAAAATAGAAATAGATACTACCCTGGCTTCCTTACTGAGCCAAACCCATGGCCAGGATAGAAAAAGAGGTAGATTAGATGTGGGAATCATGTGGCTCCACGGGCTTCAGTCTACCCTGAGGATCCCTGGTGGCTCCTTCCTGGGCATAGGCAGCTCTTCTCAGTGCTGCTGATGGCTGTGCTGTGCCAATTGGGACTAGCAAGAGTCTGTCTCTGTGCCCCTTCTGCTGATATAGATTGGTCTGTAGCAACTGAGTTGAGTTGTTTCTATTTGAGGTGAGAGGATACAATAATCTAGCTTGCAGGTCAAGGTATTTCCTGCTTCATGGGCCTCTTCATGCATTTCTGGAAGGCCCATTTAGGGGTGTGCATCTACTTGGGAGCTGCTTTATATCTGGCTGTTGCCAGGAGATTTCCTAGTGGAGAAGGCTTCAGTGACCCTTCCCTTTGTGTCTCTGGGTTGCTGAGCTTTGAGGATGCTGCGTAACATCTGGAATAGCTTCTTTCACATCTGCTCCTGATGTGTTAGGCTCTGGGACACATCCCAAGGGTGGTGGTGTTGGGAGACTCCCCTTCCCCAGTGCCTCTTGTACCGGGAGGTGGCGCCTGGCTCCAGCACAAGTGCTGAGCAGGGTGTTTGTTTGTCCGTCTGCCCGTGGGACTGATCAGCTCCTGGCCTCTTACAGGAGTGGGATGGGGAGAAACCACCATCCATCACAGGCTTTTTGCTCTAGGCAGGGAGCAGGGCAGAACTTGAGAAGTGATCAAACAAACCTCATAGAAGGCTGCCTCCTAAAATCAGAATTAGCTCCTTCATTTTCCTGCTCTTCCTTCTTGCTTCCCAGCATCTCAAATGCATTTAAACTGCTCTCAATAATACATACTTCTGAAACAGACCCCATTTGTGTCTGGAAGTTACCTGTGCTCAAGATGTGCTCCAGGGAAGTTGGGCTGCTGAATGGAGAAGTGCTGGAACTGGAGGTTTCTGACTTTTGGGATGCTGGGAAGAGCCTCACCCTGAGTTTGCTTGCTCGTGGGATTGCCATGGAGCAATGAGTGATGCTGTTCTCTCAAGCAGCTGAAGGGTTGCAGTTAGTTTGACCCATGGGGTGGTGTTGTAGGTATTGTAGAGGTCGTAGAATGTGGAAATTTCCCCCTTCCTTGCTCTTTGTGCTTTTGTCTCCATACTCCACAAGTTCCTTATTTACATCTGTGTGTTTGCATTTGTCTGAGTTGACGCTTGAGGTTTTCTTGCAGCAGAGTTGTCAAAGAAGCTCCTGTTCTGATATCCCTTTTCCCCTCATCTTATAAAGTGTTTTTCTGACCATGTCTGCTTGGATTTCTACCTAACTCCGAGACTAAGCTCTAGAAATGAAATTCCTCCCTGGCTTATACTGAACAGGCACCGGAAATCCTCATTTAAGTTCCAGTTTCCAGCCTCTCAGCACATATAGGGGAGAAAGCAGGCACAGCCTCCTCCATGGAGAAGCAAACACAACCTTGGTGTCCCGGAGCAACTTCCCTTGGTGACATGTCCTGGTGAGGTGGAGGCTGATGTTGAAAGAAGCTTCCTCTGTCTTCTCTAGCCAGAGGAAGACTGTGGTCACCCAGAAGTATGACAGGAGGAGCTGTAGCAAGTCAATACAAGCTTTGAGAAGCCTTTAGGCTGTTTTCTGCACCACAGCCCATGTCCTGGCTGTGTGGGAGAAGCACAGCAGGCATTCCAAGAGGCAGTGATGGTAAGACATTAGAACTCTCTACTGAGATGAGATGTAAGTCAGTTTGGTCCCCCTGACTGCACCCTGGAGTAACTGGGCAGCTGGACCTTCCTCAGCAGAGCTGGGACCCAGCTGTGTTTTGTATTCCCTGTGCATCCAGCTATTGGGAAGTTGGGTGGATTGTTGCATCCCTGCGCACTTTAAAATTAATGGGCTTGGTTTACAGTAAATCCATACTCTTAACAGGTTTATTCCTCGATCAATTAATTCCTGGGAATGGCTTTCGTCATCTCCAGTAGTGCCAGAGCAGGGGTGCAAAGCAGATTTATTCCTATAATGGATTCAGTGATAATTATTTCACTATTTGGAGTTGGGGACATGCAGGTGATTTATGGTGCCTGCTCAAGCATCTTCTCTTTGCCCTCCTGGCTGGCTCAGCAGCTCTTTGGGGAGGTGTTCACTGCTCAGCCTTGAACCTCTTGTCTAGGAACTGTGGGGTTTGGGTTGTTTGAAACAAGCCTGGTTAATGCTGGAGCCATCCATGTCTTCAAATACCGGTCATTCAGAATGAGACGTTTTGAAAGTGGTGCAGGAATGAGGTCTGTGTCCTCTGCTGTTGGCTGATGTGGTGCTGGGGGAGCTGACCCTTCTCAGGCTCAACCCTACAAACGGAGTTGGCTCACTTCTCTCTTAATACCTGAGTGCATAAGCATTTGAAGTGGGGGTCAAAGGAAGTCTGGCTTTCCCCCCCCCCCCATGCTCATTACTGGCTGTTCAAATGTACCTTTTGCTGCTCTGAAGGAGGTGGGAATAGCTCAGGTGCTGCTCTGGATTGGAGAGCTGAAGAGATGTGGCTGCGAGAGGTCATTCATTCCCACTGTGTCCTTTCTGATATGCTGGCCTTGCTAGTCCAGCTCCTGCTGCCTCAGCAACATTCCACACCAAGAGGACTGTTCAGGTCACAGCATGAACAGTGGGTACACAGAGGGTATACAGCCTGAAATGGGAAGCATATTCCTCCTTGTAGTCCCGCTGGTGTACTGTGGGAGCTGTTTTCTTGGTCAGACTTGCTGCTTTAGGCTGCCATTTGACTGCTGGTTCCTACCACTTCTCATTGCCTACCAAGCTGTGCTGGGAATATGAGAGCTGAAAGTGTTGAACAGCATCAGTGATAAATTTCATCTGCAAAACTCTTGTAGCACTTTTTCCCAGCAGAAGCTGGAAACTTCGTGCTTTGGTTGCAGGAATGTGTGTTAGTGTTATAGCTTTAACGTGTGAATCCTGTTTCTAACTATGGGATAGCTTCAGCAGCTCAGATTGCTGTGCAGTAGTAAAGCTGTCTGTCTCTTGGAGAGTAGGAAAAGCTCTCAAGTGTCATTGAAGGCTGCAGGTATAAACTTGGCCTAATATCTGTCTATCTCTTCTCCTCTAGGCTGGTACCAACGTCTCGGTTCTACCCCCTGCGCATGCACTGCATCCGTGCACTTACACTGCTCTCTGAGAACACCAGGACCTTCATCCCAGTGTTGCCATTTATCCTGGAGGTTAGTTTCTTCCTGCAGACCTAATAACAACTGATACCTGCTACCTGATCAACACACTCACTCACTGTACCCACCAACAGCTCCCAAGATTGCCCACGTTGCTTACTTCCTAAAATCCCTTTTAAACAGCATTAGACAAGCATGTATTGTTTGGTTAGCAAATAGGATTAAGCCTTTATTGGTCTGTGAGCAGAGTATATGAGATCAGGAGGGTGTAAAAATGCATTGTAAGGTGGTTTAATGCAGCTGGAGTAGGCAAAGGGTTTGCCAAAGAAGTTCAGAGGTTCAACTGGTTGCAGTAAACCCCTAGTTACTTACTTGATCCTACTGATGTGTTCGTATCTTAGCAAAAAGAAGGGTTTCTACCTGCAAAGGGAAATGGAAGGAAAAAGCTCATCAAAAGTTCAGAATTTCTTTAGGAAAAAGATCTCTGCATGCAGTGGGGTGAAATGCAGCGTGTTTGGTGAAATACTGGTGCCAAGAGACCATCCAGCTTTCCCAGTTGGCATCTTGTCACATGGGTCTTTCCAGCTTTGCTGCCATGAGAAGGTGGTGCAAAAGTGGTGCAGCCAGATTTCACTGGAAAGCATGAGCAAGGTGGGGTGAGGGATGCAGAAGCCTCAGGAGGTTGGCATGAGGCAGGACACTGAAGAGGAGGAGGAAGAAGAGAGACTTCTGTAATAAATGACCTGAGTCAGGCAGGCTCATTCCTAATCAAGTTCTGTTGAAGCAAAAGGCTTTTGTGGTTTCTTGTTGTTGTAAACGTCCTTTGCAAACCACATCCTCTGAGCCTGGGGAAGGCAGTGGTGTTTATAAATCTCCTGCTCTCCTGCCTCCTCTGCTGCTCCCTGGCCCTGCCCTGTGTGGCTTTGCCATTCGCCTGCTTCCTTCCTCTCCTTCATGCGTGTTTGACATCCTGCCAACCAGATTTAGTGATAGCAGCATCTCCACTCTGGGGCAGGGGAGCCTGGGGGCAGGATGCTTTTTGCTCTTTAATGATCTGAGAGATAAAACCTCTTTCCCCTCGGGGCCTTCCCCCTGTTCTTTGCCTTCTGGCCCCAACACCTCTGCTCTAGTCTGTGTGTCGGGCCCCAGCCAGACGTTACCACCCTGCACACTGAGCTTCCACCCAGCTTCCACATCCCAACCACATCCGATCCTGCTGTGTGAGGCACTGCTCAGTTTAGCTTGTCCAGGTGCTGATGACAAGGGAGAGATGGGGGCAGGGTAAATGTGTGCCTATGTGTTGCTTGCATGCTCTTTCACACTGCTTTATCAGTTATTTTGCTTCGGTTTCTATAACTCAAGGTGACTGGCATGATGTTAAACTCTCAAACCTCCCTGCCACTGTCAGCCTTTCTCTTCTTCCTGCCTATCTCCTGCAAGGGATCCCTCAAACAGTGTGTCAAGTTCCCAAGAGCATTCAGGGCTATTCCCTTTGTAATTCCATCTCTTCCCAGTGCCTCCCTCCTCTCTGTTACAGAGGTGTCTGAATGCTCCTACAGCTCTTAGCCTGTCTCCAGGCAGGAGATGTATTCCAGGTGTGCAGATGAGATGGTAGGAAGCTTTAGCACACAGAGGTGAAGCGCCCTGCCTGAAGTCCCAAGGTGGCTCTGGTGATGCTGGGAGGAGAATCTGCATCCTAAGGCCCAGCCATAGTGCTTTAACTATGAGTCTGTCAGCTCACAAATTCAGCAGTGATTTACTCAGTGGGCATTGGTCCCATGTCACTCCATGTCATGAAACAAAATCCGTTATCCAAACCATCGTGAGATTGAGGGATGTGATCAGTGTGTTGATACTAAGCAGGAGTAGACTTCAGGGGGCATGACTGGGGTCTGGGGAGCAGAATTAAACCTTCCCAGCATGAGATGTGCTCCATTTGGTAGGAAGGAGGAAAGGCTGCTCTGTCACTGTTGCAGCTGAATCAAAGTGCAGTAAAAGAGTAGCTGTGGAGTCTGGCCCTGTGTTTTGTGGCCTTTTTAGCGAGGGCTTTGCATGGCCTTAGAGTGTACAGTCTGTATGTAAGAAGTGACTGTGTCATTCCATGTTTCCCTTCCCCCTCCCCATCAAGCAAACCCAGCCCTTGCTCCCTCTTGTCTCAGCCCTGTCGCTGCTGTGCCTTCCAGAGACAGCAAATTGAATGTCTGTGCAATTCCCATAGGCACAGGAATTCCCCAAGCCCCTGCCAGTAGCAATGAGAGCTGCCTGCTTGATGCATCTTGACAAGGGCTGATGCTCCCCAGCGTGGGCATCCAGGGTTGTCTCCCCTCTGATTCTGCTTTCCAGGATGGAGCAGAAGCAGCTAAAATTACATCTTAGGAGGAGGTGGCTTGGGGGAGAGTGTGAAGCAGCCTTTTATTCTTGTACTGTTACTAGCATTGAAGAGCCTGTGAGATCCCAGCTCTGCTTTCTCCCATCACTTCAATTACGGTGTGACAGGCACTAGTTTCTGCAGCAGGAAAATAGGTGCCTCATCTGTTGGAAGGTGGATAAACAAGGTGGAAATCTCCCCCAGGCAGATTTCACATGCCAATTTAAAGCTGGCTTCCCCTGGGGAGTGATGGGAGAGCAGGTTAACCCTGATGTGCTCAGGGAGGCAGGAGTGTGGCTTGGGTCTTGTCTTGGATGTGCAGCTTTCTCTGGAGGAAGTCCCTAGGAGTTTGGAGTGCAACATCCAGTGGGTTGTGTCAGAGGAGCTGGTGTGAAGGTTGTACTTGGAGAACTGATGATGCTGGAGCTTGGCATACATTTAGCACAGATCTGAAATGAGTTTTCTACAAGACGTGATCCCTTTGCCTGCTTTAAAAGAGGAGCAAAACTGGAAGTTCAGACAGAACAAGCTGAGCTACTGCATCAACTGAAGATGGATCTTTCCTTTCCCTTATTCTTGTTGCCTCCACCATTATTTTGCAGCTATTAAATTCTGGATTACAGCCCTGCAGGTACCAGGGGTTGTTTGTGTGAAATCATCCCTGACCAAGCTAATAGACTTCTGTGAAGAGATGATGGGCTCAGTGGATGTTTTTATCTCCTCTTTATCAAGGCTTTGGATACCATCTCCCATAGCTTCCTCACAGACAAGCTGATGAATTGCACACTAGATAAGCAGGCTTTAAGGTGTATTGACAGCCAGCTGATCTTCCAAGGCTCATGCTGATCAGGGACATGAAATCTAGCTAGAGGCTAGTGATATACAATGGAAATGGATACTGGGGCTGATACTGGTTATCATATTCACTGGTGGGGCAGAGTGCCACCATCAGCAACCTTGCACATGCTATGAAGATGAGAGGAGGCTGTGTTACAGCTTTGCCAGCAGTTTGACTGTGGTCTTTCCCCTCTGCTGAGCACTACTGAGCCCACAGTGTCCAGTTCAAGGCTCTCCAGGACAAAGAGATGTGGACATACAGAGTCTAATGAAGAGCCACAGAGATGAAGGGAATGGAGCATCCTTTCCTGTGAGGAAAAGCTGCAAGAGCTGGACTGTTCAGCCTCAAGAAGATAAAGCACAGGGATTGTCTTACTAATATGTATAAAAGACATGAAACGAGACTGTATGGAAGATGGAGCCAGGCCTGCTGAAGTGGTGTCCAGTGGCAGGACAGGATGCAGTGGGTACAAACTGGACCACAGGAGGGTCTGTCTGAGCATCACTGAACACTTGGGGTTTTTACTGTGAAGGTCCCTGAGCACTGGCATTGATTGTGGAGTCTCCAGCCTTGGGGATGCTCAAACACCATCTGGACATGGTCCTGAGCAGCTGGCTCTAGGTGGTCCTGTTGAGCAAGGCACAAAATTACTTCCAGAGCTCTCTTTAAACCTCAATCTTTCTGTGAATAAAGAGATTTGAAGCCAGGTTTTTCTCAATGGCACCCACCCCCTAAAAGCCCACTGCCAGTTTATATGGCGAGGCTAAAACAGGTTGCATAAATCAGTGTCTCTCCTTGGAGATAATCAAGACATGAGTGGCAAAGCCCTGGATCCTGCTGTGAGCTGGCCTGGGGCAGCCAGCGTTGGGGTGACCACAGCAGATGCCAGGAGGCATTTCTTTTGCTAGAGCCTGAAAGAGGTGAGGGGTGGATGGGGTGGTACAGTTGGGTCTCTGGTTTGCGCTCTGCCAGTGTAAATGTATTTGAGCACCCTTCTCACTAGCCATGTGGAAGTCATCTGTGAGCTTGAGCTTGCCAAAAAGCCTTCCCCTTCCTGCCTGTGTTGCCCTGTCCTTTCCTCTGTGGTTCTCACTTAAGCCAAATTGTTGCCTTTTGACATTTTCTGGCCCTCCAGTCCGTCATTACCACCTTTCCACCCTGCTACAGCATCCCTAGACATCAGTCATCCTCTCCTGCAGTCTGGCTGGTCCATTTTGCACCGTCTGGAGATGGGAACCACATGTTCCCCCCTTCCCACACATCCTGACTGGGTCCTGGGAGAGTTTCAAACCCTCTGGTTGTGTTTCCCCCCTTGCCTAGAAGCATGTTAGGATCCCACAGGGCCTGATGCCTTTAGCTTTAATGTGTCTGACCTCAGGGATCAATACTACTGTTTTGGCCAAAGAAATAACCGTGCATAACAAGGTTTATAGCATCGATTCCCAAGCCTGGTGCTCTTTGTTTTCACAAGCCACCAGGTTTGTGTCGTTCCCCCCCCCCACTTCCAAATAATCTGGATTGACAAATAAAATGCAGGGAAATCAATAGTCTTCTCCATGCTTTTCTGGCCTGGGGGCACTGGTGTGACCTGAACAGCCTCCCTTGCCCCCTCACCTCAGCCTCCAGCAATCAGTGTACTGCATCCCCACCTTGCTGGGCTGCTTGGGGGCTGATGATGAATGTCTTGCTGCTGCAGAGAGGGAAGGGAAATGATTTCCTGCTTAGGAGTGCGATTTATAAGCTTTGAGGACAGGGATAGAGAAGCTTTGGGCTGCTTTTGAGGTGCTCCAAAGTATGGGTGAGCCAGATAACTCCTTTTCAGCCTCCTCAGTGATTATCACCAGGTATACAAATGGTCCCATTGCTAGTGAACACCTCTCTTGCTTGCTGCTTGTTGTCCCCTGATGGGTGTCTCTGAGAGGCTGCCCCAGATCAAGCTGGTTTTGCTATTCTTACCCTCTTTCTCCTGAGGTCTGCCTCTATCAGCATAGGAAAGAGCATCTTTGTATTGCTCATTTTAGGAGCCTTTTGCTCTTTCCTGTATCACAGCTTCAGAGGAAGAGCAAAACAGCACTCAGGCTTATTGGGATAACCGTTCCCTGTTGCCTGCCCAGGGCAGAAGGACCAAGGCACATTCTGGCTTGAGCTGGTTTCAGCTGAAGATCACTTTCCTGTGTGCCAAACGTAGCCTCACATGAAATGAGTGGAAATTCTCATTGCTTCATGCTACGCTTCCCTCAGTGAAGCTGGGAAACTCCTCCCAAATAGGAGGGGAAAGGACTTTCCTAGCTCTTAGTCTCAATTACAATATGTTAAGTTTTAAGGCAATAATGGCTCTTCTGAGTTAAAACCAAGCTTGAGATGCCACCCAAGAGAGCCACACACACGTGACCTTCCCCTCTTCTTTCTACTGTGTCACCTTCATTCCTTCATATTCTTCTCCCCAATCCATTGTCATTAAACAAGCTCTGGAAGAGCAAAAAAGCAAAGGTTTAAGTCTGCTTTTTGCCTGAGCTGGAAGCTGAACCCCAGAGCTTGGGTGTGCTCATCACTTGGATGAGCAGGATGCATGGTATCCTCTCAGACTCTGGTAAGGAGCCAGCATGCCCCTTGCTATCAAATGAAATGGCCATAGGGAATAATACGCACTAATTCAAAGGCTGTTCAGTTAGAATTGGTACAAAGGACACCAGTGGAAAATGGGTTAGAATAAAAACCTTGCCTGGTGAGGGGTGTTCATAAAATCATACAATGGTTTGGGTTGGAAAGGACCTTAAGATCATCCAGTTCCTACCCCCTGCCATGGGCATGAAAAGGACTTACTGGTCTCTGGTTCCTGGAACAGTTATTTCAGTGACAATAAAAGGGTAATGGATTTGGTGTAAGCAACACTTACTCTTGCTTGTCCCTTAGGGGACAGCTCCAAAATGCACTCAAGCTTTGTAGTATGATCTTTCTGACCATGAGAAGCATGAGTCTGAGGAATGAAGCTCGAGTTTCTTGTGCTGTTGCTTGTGTAGGTTTCCTTCAACTCATTTCCGTGGCATCTTTCACACTCAAGTCTCTAAAGCTTCAAGTGTGGTTGGTGTTTGCTCCTTACCTGTCCCTTGCAGGGGTATTGAAGCAAGCTGGGGGACAGTGATCAGAGCAACGGAGCAGGAATCAGGATTTCTGGATTGTCTTCTCAGCTCTGCATGATCTTAGTTGAGTCATTTGATATTTGGGTTGTGCTGTGAGCATCTTTACACTCATTCTTTTCTGGTGTAGGTTTTCCAGCAAGTGGATTTCAACAAGAAGCCAGGACGTATTAGTGCTAAGCCTATCAACTTTGCAGTGATCTTGAAGCTTTCCAATGCCAACCTGCAGGAGAAGGCCTACCGAGTAAGTGGATCCCCAGCACAGCTTCTCCAAGCAACAGGGTTGCCCTGGCTTTGTGTTCCTGTCCTTAAGCTGGAGACTCATTTCCCAATGAGTCAGTTCCTATCTGATGCCTCTATTTCTGCTTCCCCTCCTCAGGATGGACTCATTGACCAGCTCTATGACCTGATGCTTGAGTATCTCCATTGCCAAGCCTACAGCATTGGATTCCCAGAGTTGGTTCTCCCTACTATCATTCAGGTAAGGTTTAAGACTCGTCTTGGTCATGCTGTGAATGTGCACAGAGCAGGATACAGTTGTTTAAGCTACCAGGGAACTCAGGATGGTCCTCCCAGAGTGCGGGAAGAGCCATTTACCTTTTCTTAGTTACAGTTTTCTTTGTGTTTTGGGGAGTTCTTAGGGAGGAAGAAACGTTTAGAGGCATCACATCTAATTACGAGGTCGAAGGTAGGTGACAGTGGAGTTGGTTGCTCTTTTGGGAGCCAGAGTGGAACAGAGGGGTGCATAACTGCTGCAGAGAGGTGGTTTTGACTACAGAACAGAGATGAGATCCTGGCAATTCAGAGTTGTCTGAATTGCTGTGTTGTCTCAGCAGTACCTGCGCTCTGTGATCCCGTATTTTCCTTGCCTCACAACCTCCCTCATGTGCTCTCCACAAGGTGGCAATCTTCCCTCCTTTCACAGTGCCTCCAGCAACTGGGGCACTTTCCCCAGCAACTAGGTCCCTCCCTACAAAACAGTGTAATTCTTGTCTCCATCCCTCCTCCTTGCTGCACCTAACGGCAGTGCTGCAAAGTAGTCTCCTTCCCCTCTCCCCTGCCATTCCACAGCCCAGGATGTTCTTCTTAGCCACGTCCTGTTTACATTGTCTGCAATAAAAGTGCTTAATAGTGCTGTGCAGCTGGGTGCATTGTGCATAATCCTTCCCTAATACCTTGCTAGCTGGGTGGCTTCAGTTTTGAATGAGCAGTGGCCTCGCTGCTTTGAACAGTAAGATTGCTTAGTGCAGACGTGTTGGAACTTGTTCTCCGCCCCTCAGTCCTCTGTTTTTAACTCATGAGTGGCACATGTCGTAGTGTTATGTCCTCTATGGGGACATAAATCCTCTGCTTTGGTGTCTGCCAGGAGACCCTCTGCATGCACACCTTGCTGCTGTGATGCTTCTGGTTGACGTGGGAGCAGTGTCTCAGTGGGGACCCGCTTGGGTCCTGCTTGGGAGGCAGGTCTTGTTTCTGCTCTGTGTAATAGGCTGGCATCTGTCAGGCGCATGACTCTTGGCTGGGTCCCTGCAGCCTGGCACAGCCCACGCCGAGCTGGCAGCAGGCTGCTTTGGCTAATGTGAGCTGACAGGCTCTCTGTGCGAGGAGAGCAGCTCCTGTGCTTGCTCTCTCTTTGCGTGCCTCTCCCTTACTGGCAGTGAACAAGGCCCTTTCCTCTCAGCCAGCAGCTGCTGAGAGCATCGAAGCTGTCGGAGCCGATGTTCTAGCTGGGATGAGGAACGGCTGACGGCCCTCTGGCACCCAGCACCCTGTGGCTTCCAAACACACCCCGGGACCAGCCTCTGTTTCTGCACCCAATTAATGCTATCACATTTCTAGTTGGCTGCCACTAACCACAGCCTCGTGGCGTCTGCTGGGCTGGGGTGCTGAGGTTAGCTTCCCAAAATCTCCGAGTCTTCGGGAAAGCGTGTGTGTGTGGGGAAGGCTTTTCTCCTGGACAGGTTCCAGTTAACTGTACGAATCCATCTGTCCTGATTCTTCCTCCCTGATGAGCTCACGCTTCTCTCAGTGCCGTGTCGTAGGGGCTGTGCTCCAGCTGGCAAGGGGTTGAGTTCCTTGTCTTCTGGTCAGCGGCTTTGGGAGCAGCCAGACTGAACTGCCTTCAAACTGAGCTTGAACTGCCTTCAAACTGAGCTTGAAATCCTTGCCTGGAAGGCAGGAAGCACCCCGGCACGTTAAAGGAAAGGAGAGCCAGCGGGGGTGACAGTTCAAAGGCTCCTGTTTTGCTCAGGGTCTGGCACGACCCTGTGGTGGTCAGTGCTTCCCCAGGCTGGTGAGGAGCTCACAGTGCAGAGCCTCTGTGTCTGGATGCATGGAAGAGACTGCCTCTTCCCTCCTCTCTAGAGTCCTGACAGGCAGGGGTTGATAAGGGCTAGGTTCTGCTGGGTGACAGCAGGAGATGGCATGATCTAGGCATGACCTGGAGCTAGACAGAAGGGCAGGAGGTGCTGGTTTGCCTGGCCAGCAGTCGCTCCTGCTGCTTCCTCCCTATCCTAAGATGAATATTGCCTCTGCTTTTTGTGGGTGGGGGCTTGGGCTTGATTTGGGTTCCCTTTAACACACACCCAGCTGCCTCAGCTAACTTCTAGTTCCCTGCATCACTTACAGTAAGAGGAGCTGGGTTTTGCTGTGGTCTCTTAGCGTATGAACCATTGGTGTTTAAGGCTGGCAGTTGGACTGCATCAGTCCCACTAATCACAGGGCTGCTTAGCTAGGAACCAGTGTGAGATGTTAATGATATATATGCACACACATACATGTATGTTCTGATTGCTTTTATTCTGCAGAGATATGCTTGTTGTGTTTGGCAGAGTGCAAAAAGACACACACCGAGTCCCTTTCTCTCTCCTCTCTCTTCTTTTACCTTCCTGGTTGTGTTCCCTGCCTCAACACAGCCCTGAGATCTCATTATGTTTCATTACTATCTGTGCAGATAGTGGTGGGACTGTGAAGGATTGCAGGGGTAGGAGAGAGGAGGAGTGGGGGGTAGAAGAAGTGAGACATAAGGCTGTGAGAGCAACCACCCAACACCAAACTGCACTCATAGAGCCAGAGATTTTGCAGGATTTCTGGTGACACTTCTGCACTGGAAGAGAAATGATAATGTATGTGGCAGCGGATGAAATGGATCTGGGGCTGCAGCTGGGGATCAAGTGAGATAAATGGAATGACAAATGCATCTCTCAGTGGAGATAAATATGCAGCACCTATAAAAGAAAGGGGCGGGGGGGAGAGTAGGACAGTCTTCGCCAGCAGAATGGTTTTGCTCATGGTTTTTGTGTACTTGTTTGATGGGCTGGATGCCTTGTGGAAAGGAGAGAAGGGGTTCATTTTCACTCCCATTTTCCTGAGTTGGATGTATGATGGGGATAAAGGGACAAGAGAAGTCCCTGCTGTTAGGTAGTGGGGGACATTCTCCATGTGTGTAGCAGACAGCAGATGCTGCAGCAATATACCCATCAGGAAAGCAGTGTCCTGACAGAGGGGCTAGGTGTGACTGTCACCTCTTGGTTAACATTTAATACCTACCCACATTTGAGATCAAGCCACCATGTAGGCTTGATGGGAAGGAGACATCATCTTCCTTCCTCCAGCTCTGTGTTTTGAGGCAGAACACTTGAAGCCATAAGTAGAGAAGGCAGGACTATATCTGCTGACTAGAAACCCTTTATCATGATAGCATCTGCAGGTCCCAGCTGAGATGAAGGTTCCATTGTGGTTAACCATTATCTTCTGCCCTATTGGATCTCTTTCTCTAAATCAAGTGTCTGCGTATTGTGTATGTGTGTGTGTATATGTATATGGCTCTAACAAAGAGCTTGGCCTGCAGAGTATGGGCAGCACTCCAGAGGCTTGTCTTGGAGTTGGTGAAAACTGCTAGCAGACACTATAGTAAACTGGAATTCAAGCCATGAGTCAATGTGGACCTCCCTATCTCTCTGTGTCACCAAGAGCTTCCACTGCTTCCTCAGCTTTTAGGTTGGAGGTGGCAGAGCAGTGCAGCGGTGTTGGAGGCTGGTTTGTATTGGGAGGGGAAGTCTTTAACAGGGAGAAAAGAGGTTTGCTTGAGGACAACTGAGATAGGAAACCAACACAAAACCGTGCTCTGTTTGCAATGAAGTCTCATTGTCTGACAGTACCGAAGTGCTTCTGGTGCAGAGAGGAGAGCAGGGCCACGTTCTCTGAGAGCAGGAAGATCCTTGCCCTTCCTGGCAGTAACAGGGTTTATGGTTTCCTGGCAGATTGGCTCTTGGCCTGAGGGTTGCATCTAAGGCCTTGGGTCTGAAAGAAAGCATTCTGTAGGCACCTGCTGCACAGGTGGTCACAGAGAGGGTTATTTTGTACACTGTTGTGTGATGGGGTGTGGGTTTGCACCCTTCAACATTCAGTGGTGCCAGTTGGAGCCGGGTTGGTACAGTCAGACATGAAGCAAACTTCACCCCATGTCACCCATCTGTCCTGACCCTCAGCAGCAGCACCAAGGTTCCCTCTCTGCTGTGCCAAAGTCGCTTGCTCCCAGTCCACAGACACTTCCAACCCGTATTTGAAGTCCCTTCTCATACTCTGTCTCCAATCCCAGCATCAGTCTCATCCACATCCTCTTGTATTTGCTATTCCTGTTTCAGTGTTGACTGGTGTTCTACAGTCTTAATCCACAGGCACCTTTCCCTGTGCTTTTGGTCATCTACCATCCATGTATCCACTGTTAATCCTCATCTCTGCATCTGGTCCACAGTCCCTCATCCTGTTTGGCTGAGCAGGAGACAGTGATACTGCAGCTATGATGCCATCTAGGAGCAGAGGCCAAAGAGAGCTCAGGCTTTATTTCCTTCTGGCTGCTTGAACTCCACTGATAACTCTTTTCCAGAAAGAAGTAGTGTTAAAGGGTGCAAAGAGCTGGTTTTGAGCTGGATTCTGTACAAACATCTGGCCTGTCACTGCAACTCTTTACATCCTCCCAGCCCAGGGCAGCAGGACCCCAAGGGTGGCACATGGGGGTATGGTATGAATAGAAGGGAAAAGGTGCCCCATGCTGTCACTTGGGGGGGGGATCTGTTTATGGCAATGATTACATAGCTTTCATTCTTGCTCTCCTTTTCCTCCTCCCAGCTAAAATCCTTCCTGAAGGAATGCAAGATTGCCAACTACTGCAAGCCTATCCGACAGCTCCTGGAGAAGCTGCAGGAAAACTCTGCCTACATCTCCAGCAGGCGTCAGAAAGCTGCCTTTGGCGTGGCCAGCAGGGAGGCTGTGGTGAGCCTGCTCCTTCCATCTGGGCTTCCTGGAAAGACAGACAGGCTCCTGCTGCTGGGGTTGAGCCCGTGGCAGAGGGAGGAGGGACAATGGGATCATGGAAACGGGAGGGTGTGAGGTGGGGCAGATGTTCACAAACAACTGGACTCGGCAGGGCTCTCGTGCTGTAGCTGGCAAGAGCCTCATGGAAAACAGAGTCCATACATTGTGCCCTTCTGTTATTTATAACACACGGATATACATGGAAGTGCCTTGTTTTGCTGGGGCATCTTTGATGAGAAGCTTCTTGGTTTTCATCATTCATTCCTGTGCCAGTTTGTGCCTGAAGGGATGGGGGGGATTCTGCTGCCTCTTAATTGTGATGTTTACTCCTAGTCTGTAGAGACCAGACTCCAGCAGTGTAGAACCAAGCTATTGGCAGACTGATAGTTGGCATTTTAGGATCTCGAGGCAAGCCTTTCCCCATTTTCCTGGACCCTTGTGGAGCAGAGCTATAGAATCAGGGAAGTTACGAGCCGTAAGAACAGTCATCAAGCATCTTGTGCTGCAGTTGCTTCTCAAGAGAGAGGCTGGTGTTTTCTTCTCTCTGCAGCCTAAGCATCCTGCCTGCTGAGAAAAGGCTGAGCATGTCTGACACCTAGGAAAGTTGCTTTGGATCAGGGTGGTTCTTAATGCATGTGGAGTAGTTGAGTTAAACACCAGGATTCTACCTTAGTGATGAGATGAAGGAGTTGCCTCTGGTGATGATGGAGGCCCCCCTCTTATCTTAGGAAATGAACTGTAGCACAGCTAGAAAACAGTGTATTAGAGGGTGTGTTAGCTAATAGTTGGCCATCTGGCTAAGAGGCTGAGAGATGCTGCCTTTCTCCTTGTTTTCCCTGCTCCAGGAGGCTGCCTGCTCTGAGCCAGGTCCTCCTGGGGACAATGTAGCATATTATCAGGACATTCCTTTCAGTGTTTTTGTTGAAGCCTTTTTCTTTTGCCTTGCTCCATCCTTCCCTGGCAGTGTTCAAGGCCAGGCTGGACACAGGGGCTGGGAGCAACCTGCTGTTTTGGAAGGTGTCCCTGCCTGTGGCAGGGGGTGGAACTGGATGAGCTTTAAGGTCCCTTCCAAACGAAACTGTTCTATGGTTCTTTTGGGACCTGTTGACCTGACCTAAAGTCTGAGGTATTTGAAATCCAGGCCCTTTGTAAATGAAGCCAAAGGGAAGAAAGCTTTTTAATGAAGCTTTGCTTGTGTGTCCTTTGGGTTGGACACCTTCGATTTTAGGTTTGCTTTTAATCCAACACAGCAGCCTTTGCGAGCCTGATAGTAGGTGAACTGCTGAGAGGAAGTAGTGGGTCTGTCTCTTCTTTTCCTGGCAGGATTGATGTGAAAATGTTTCTGTCTGCAGGGTAATTGATGGGTCAGAGTAGTGTCTGGCCACATGGTATCATTGGGAAGTCTGGAGTTCTGCATCATTGGAAAGCTCCACCTATTGGAAAGGAGCTGAGCATGGAGCAGAAGTTGCAGCACAGACTAAGTTGTCCTCAGGCACTAAGATGCAGGGTCTGCAAGAAAACAAACCTTTAAAATAGTGACATATCGACACCAGGACCCAGCAGCACTATTTTGGCATTAAGGGGTTGATGGAACTGGGTTGGAAGTGTCTAAGTGTCTAATTTAGTTCTGTAAATGCCATTCTGGATTGGCCTGTTTTGCTGAAGGAATCACACTTCCCCTCTGGAGTGAAGTGGTTTGGCTCTTGTGGGTTTGTATTTGTTACAGGCAATGCTGTGACCACCCACCCGCTCTGCAGAGGCAGAGATTTCACCCTCTGGGGCTCTCCATGAAGCAGATGAGCTGGGGAAGTCGTTGGCTAACTCAAACTGGATTTCCAACAACTCAGCCGCTGTCTGCTCTTCCCAGCAGCTCTGGCTGCAGTCCCTTGTGTAAAAGCTAAATGGTTGTTTTAACATCTTGCTGCCTGGAGGTCTTGAGTTGACACTGATGCACTTGCTTTCCCAGGGATATCCAGGTGGCTCAGCAGCATGGATCAGGCAGTTTTAGCTCTGGAAGGGTGGCAACAGGCAGCCTGCCTTGAGTAAAGGAGGACGGTTGAGGAAAGCAGCACGAGTTTGCCAAGCCTGGTTGGAGATGGATGTTCTGCCCTTTAAGGGGATAGAGCAGCAATGTGAAGTGCTGCTCGGGGAGGATTGCCTGTGCAGTCTCTATCTTACATCTGTGGTGGTGTCCTGTGGGAGGAGGGAGCCCTTCTCTTCCTTCAGTTAATGGGATATCAGTGCTCCTGGGAGCAAACAGCCCTCTCTGTACTTCCATGGGGTGGAAGAGCCATAGTGGCTTCTCTTTTGTGCCCAGGGTGCCCCTGTGTTTTGCCCCTACACCTCTGCAAGCACATGGTGCAGATTCTTCAGAAGGGCCATAACTCCCACAGAGATGGGGCTTCCCAGAATGGTTTGGGGTGTCCCTCAAAGTCTGGGTTGAGTTTGCCAGCCTGTCTCCAAGGTATGTGGAGCATTGGCACTTCTCATCAGCAAACACTGCCAGAAAAGGGAAGGGAAGGAGGGGGGTGAGGGAAGAGGAGGTATTTGCATGTCCCTCTTGCCAGCAAGAGCAATTGAAAGCAAATGCTTTCTGGTTTTCACATGCATGCATTTATGCCTGCTCCATTGGAGCTCCAAATTCTGAGCTAATTCTTCTATGCAGCATGCTGAAGTGTGGCTTTCATGGGGGAGTATTGGACATGCTTTAGAAAGGTGGATTTTACCTAAGGGTCCTATATATAAACCAGATATAATTAATATATATTA